GGAGCCCCGCAGTGCCCCGGGTGGGAGCGGGGGCCGCGGGCCGGGCTACCGGGGAAGGGGTCCGGGTCCTGCCTCTCCCCCCACCCTGCGCGGGGTCCCCCGAGCTGCCGCCGGGCTCAGAGCAGCTCATTTTCCGTCCTGAAGAAACTTTTTCCTGGCTTGACTTTTCCTTCTTTTATGGGGATTTTGTGGAGCCGCGGAGGGGGGAGGGAGCGGGGCAGCTCCGGGCAGGGCAGGGGGGCAGCGCTGGCCCCGCGCCCACCCCGGCCCTGCTCCCTCTGCCGCATCCGCGGGGGCTGTCCCGGAGCCCCGCTCGGCCGAGGGGGCGGCGGGCCGGGATCCTCCAGCCCTGTGTCAGCCGGGGGTGATCCCACGGGACGGGTCCTTCGGTCCCACAACACCCGGGGGTGCTCCTGCGGGATGGGGTCCTTTGGATCTGCATCCCTCAGGGATGATCCTCTGGGATGGGTCCCCCCCCGACCCAGGGATGCTCCTTGCCCGGGCCGGGAGCAGGGACGGGGCTGGCGCGGGGCCGGGACACGCCCGGCACACAGGACGGAGCCGTTCCCTGCCTGTCTCCCGGGGCTGGATGCTGGGAAGGCTTTTGTTCTTCTGGCCCGAGGCATCTCCCGCATCCTGCCGGGGCTCTGGAAAGGGCCCAGGAGGGGCGGCCGTGACTCAGCCCCCACGTGATGGGACTTTCGAGGTTTGCAGCAGTCCCGGCCCCTCTCCGCCCGCTCCTGGCCCCGTTCCCGGCTCCGGGGGCCAAGGCACGGAGCCCGGCGCTGCGATTCTGCCCGCTCAGCACTTCCCGGGCTGTCAGGAATTTCCTGGTGCCGTTGGCCGGGGGTCGGCGGCTGCGTCCCGGCCCCCAGCGCTGCCAGATCCCGCTGCCGAGATGCCTTAAAGGCGCCGCGGAGTGTCCTGGCAGGAATCCCGCTGGATGCTGCCCCGGCCCCCCCAGCACCCCCCGGGCAGAGGGGGGGCGGCAGCGGGGCCAAACCCACCCCCCACCCCCGTGCTGGTGCTCTGGGAGGGGCCCTGGCGGGGCAGCGGCACTGGATGAGAACTCCCAGGTCCTTCCCGCAGGGATGCTCCCAATGCCAGCCCGGGCTCTGCCTGAGATTGCCCCACCCGGCTGCAGCACCGGGTAAACCTCGGGAGCTGCTTGTGGTGCCACTTGTGAGTGTACCCAGGTCCCCCTGGGTATCCCCCTCCTTCTGCGGTGTCACCTGCCCCCCTCACTCCCTGTCACCTGCACACGTGGGGGACAAACCCCCCTGCAAAGGTGGGGAACGAGTCCCTCTGCACCCCCCGGAGCAGGGGCCAAACCCTCACAGGGGTCTGGGGCTGCAGCTCCAGGGGTGCCCCAGGCTGGTTCCAGAAGGTTCCAAGTGGTTCCATGGCCGTTGGGGTGCCGGGATGTCCCTTTGTGACTTGGGGGCCACTGTGACTCTGGGGGGTTCGAGGGCACAGAGCCCCGGGTGCCACTCCCAGGAGAGCCCCTCCCTGCCGAGGCAGCAGCTCCGGGGCCCCTCTGTGGCACAGGAGGATGGAGATGCCCACGGGGAAGGCAGAGCCCAACTCCAATCCGGCCCAGGGAATGCCGAGTCCCTGGTTCCAGGAGGGATGGGGGACAGTGGAGGAGGAGGAGTGGGGAGCCTGCAGCCCCTGGGAGCTGTGCCAGGGGGAACGTGGCAGAGCCCCACTGCTGTCCCAAGGGCTGTGCCAGGGGAAAGCCAACAGATACAAAGATCTGTCCCAGTGGTCAGAACTAATCGACCGGGAGATGTCCCAGATGGAAGAATTCATTGACCAGCAGCCCTGCCCAAGGAAAGCCAGGAGACACCAGGAACTGTGCCAAGGGCAGGGCAATGGACACAAAGAACTGTCCCAGTGGGAAGGTTACACTGGCCAAGAGCTGTGCCAAGGGCAAGTCAACAGATCCCAAGGGCTGTGCCACAGGGAAGTCAATGGACACAAAGATCTTCCCCAGTGGGAATCTCTCATCAACCAAGGGATGTCCCACTGGGAAGAGCACACGGAGCAAGGGCTGGGCCAAGGGAAAGCCAGGACACACCAAAAGTGGGGCCAACAGGAAGTCGAGAGAGACCCAGAGCTGTGCCAAGGGAGGGTCAGTGGGTACAGAAGTCTGTCCCAATGGGAAGAATTAATCAACCAGGAGATGTCCCAGATGGAAGAATACATTGACCAACAGCTGTGCCAAGGGAAAGCCAAGAGACACCAGGAGCTGTGCCAAGGGCAGGTCAGTGGGTACAAAGAACTGTCCCAGTGGGAAGAATTAATCAACCAGGAGATGTCCCAGATGGAAGACTTCATTGACCAAGAGCTGTGCCAAGGGAGAGCCAAGGGACACCCAGAGACAGCCAGAGCTGTGCCAAGGACAAGCCAAGAGACCCCAGGAGCGGTGCCAGGGGGAGGTCAGTGCACACAAAGATCCCTCCCAGCCACCAGGAAATAAATTACAGGAATCCAAGGAATTCCTGCTGCTGCTCCACTGGCTGTTAACAGTCCAGGGGAGGGGCTGAGAGCTCCGGAGGGGTCCCTGAGCTGGGAATGTCACCCCAGAACACGGGGCTGGGGCAGGGGGAGGCTCATGGCCGGGCAGCAGGGCAGGGACTCCTGGAATCAGCAAATCATGGAATTGTTTGGGTTGGAAAAGCCCTCTGAGACCATCGAATCCAACTGTCCCCCAGCACTGCCAAGGCCACCCCTGACCATGTCCCCAAGTGCCACATCCACAGGGTGTTAAATCCCCCCGGAATGGGGACTCCCTCCTGCCCTGGGGGACAGCCCTTTCCAAGAGGAATTTTCCCTGTTCCCTCTCCTCCTGTCCCTTGTTCCCTGGGAGCAGAGCCCGACCCCCCTCCCGGTTCCCCCCTCCTGTCAGGGGGTTGCAGAGCCAGAAGGTCCCCCCTGAGCCTCCTTTTCTCCAGGCTGAGCCCCCCCAGCTCCCTCAGCTGCTCCAGCCCCTTCCCCAGCTCCCCACTGGAGTCGCTCCATCGATCCCCTGGATTCTCCAGCGTGACCCAGAGTCACCAAACCCCGAGGAACGACCCCAAACACAACCCTGGGGTAACTATACAGTGAGAACATTTATTTCCTGCGGGCACTGGGACCAGTCTGTCCCACGCCGGGTGACTGGAGACACAAATCCAGCCCAGCAGCTCCGGGGTCTCCTCCCAGCTCCCATTCCCACACCACAGACGCTCCTTCCCGACCCCGAGCGACAACTGGAACCCAAACACACAGCACTGGGTGCCCCCGAAGCGTCGGGCACCGAGGGTCCCTCTGTCCTCCATCACCTGGAGCTCGGCTCTTCCCCGTCGTTATCCTGCTGCTTGGCCATGAATTTCTGTGGGAACAAGGGGAGAAGGCGCTGCAGGGACATCCCAGGATATCCCAGGATATCCCAGGATCACGCTCCAAAGGCAGGGCAGGTGTCAGAACACCTGCAGGGCTCCAGCTCAGCCGGCTCCTCCCTCTGCCGGGGGAGATCTGCCCCAAAACACCCCAGTCTGGCTCCCAAGCCAACAGCTCGGGAAGCTCCTGAGGGGAATGTGGCCAAAGCTCAGGGATCAGGGTTCCCCACAATGACACCTGGGCATGGAACAGAAAACATCCCACATTCCCACAGGCTGTGTGTTCCCAAACCCCCCAGGGGTGACCAGAAGCCCCCCAGAGCCCCGGGTTTGGGGCTGTTCCCTGTTCCCAAAGCCCTGAGGGGTGACCAGGAGCCCCCCAGAGCCCCAGATTTGAGGCTGTTCCCTGTTCCCAAACCCCCCAGGGGTGACCAGGAGCCCCCCAGAGCCCCGGGTTTGGGGCTGCTCCCTGTTCCCCGGAGCCCCCCAGAGCCCCGGATTTGGGGCTGTTCCCAGGAGCCCCCCAGAGCCCCGGATTTGGGGCCGTTCCCTGTTCCCAGGAGCCCCCCAGAGCCCCAGATTCGGGGCTGTTCCCTGTTCCCAGGTACCTCCATGTTGTGCCGGTGCAGGGGGGTCCGGCAGTGCTGGATCATGGAGGGTTCATCGGCGTAGAACAGGGAGCAGATCTGGCAGAAGAACCCGGCCTTGGGCACCAGGATGTCCAGGGCTGAGGGAGCAGCACACGACAGTCACCACACGCAGCTCCAGAGACACCCCAATCCCACACTCCCTCCCCAAACCCGGCCAGTTTGGGGGTCCTGGGTGGAAATCACAGGGTTTCAGCCGTCAAAAAACCCGGGTTCTCACTCGAGCCAGTCCCTGTTTCAATCCACACATCATTTCCATGGGAAATAACCACAGCAATTTCTGGGAATTTTTTGGATCTGAGGGTCCCTGCAACTTCCTTTTGGCCTTTGAAGTGTTTCATCTCCAACTCCTGGGCCAGGTGTGGCTCTGCAGTGTCCCACCAGCCCCATCCTTCCAGGGAATGTCCCCCAAGCCATCGGACCAGGAGCCAGATGTTCCCTCCCAGCAACTCCTTTTCCAGCTCCAGTGTTCTCAGTAGTTTTATGGAAAAGGAATTTAAAGGAGGATCTTATAAAAAAAAAAAGGAAATACATCTCTACACCCCCATTTCAAAGCTGTGTCAGCAGTTCCCTCCTTCCTAGGCATGGAAAGTTGGGAATAAAATTCGTCCCAGGATGGGAATCCCACTGCCCTGTGCTGACCATCAATAAATTTGCCTGTCTTTGTAAATCTTAGGAAAAAAGTACTTTCCATGTTGAGCTTTCAACTGGTTAAACATGGATTTGGAGGAGCAAAGAAAAAAAATCATGGATTCTGGGCCCTGACTCTGAGGTTCAGTGTGGTTGTAGGACATGGAAGGAGTTTTAAACAGACAGGAAAGCCTGGAGAGTTTGGGGTGGTTCCTCTGGATTTACCTTTGGGAGTGCTCTGTGCCTTGGGGACACTCAGAACAGTCGCTTTCTTCTGCCTGGACTCTGGTTCTGCCCCTCCTGATCCCAGCTGAGCTGCTGGAGACAGAAACGCACGTCGGAATGGGAGGGAATCCTGGAATGGTTTGGGCTGGAAGGGACCCAAAGCCCATCGATCCCACCCCTGCCATGGGCAGGGACACCTCCCACCAGCCCAGGGGGCTCCAAGCCCTGTCCAACCCGGTCTTGAGGTCCCTCACCTTTTGGCTTGGAGATTCCAGAGATTTCCTCTTCTGGATTCGGATCCCCCAAAATTCCTATTTCTTCTGGTCCTGCAACAGCAACAATGTCCTCCTCCTCTGGTCCTGCACCGGCAGCGATTTCCTCTTCTTCTGGTCCTGCCACAGCAACGATGTCCTCCTCATCCTCATCCTTGTGTGGATTCTTCCCCGGGGAAGCGTTTTCCTCCTCCTCCTCCTCGTCCCCCACTTCGTCGACCGTGACGAAGTTCAGCTCCTCCTTGAGGTGGTTGAAATCCGCCAGGAAATCGTCCTCCTCCTCGTTCACCTCGTCCAGGGTCACCAGGGGGTTGTCCTCGTTGTCCTCCTGGATCTCATCCACGGTCACCAGGGCCGTGGGGTCGTCGGGCACCTGCGAGGAGGCCGCAAAGTCCCCGGCACTGCCCTTGCCCTCCTCACCACCCAGCTCCGTGGGCTCGTTCAGGGGCAGCTCCTCCACCTCCCCGATCTCATCCACCGTCACCAGGGGCTCGGCCTTCAGGTCCCGCTCCTTGAACTCGGCCTGGGGCAGGTCCCTGTGGGCTCCCGGCTCCTCCTGCTCCGAGATCTCGTCCAGGGTGAGCAGGGCCTGCGGGTCCTTCACCGCCTCCGACAGCTCCTCCTCCTCCAGCACCTCGTCCACCACCAGCAGCCCCTGGGGGTCCCCCAGAGGGGCAGGGGCGTCCTCCTCCTCCCCGATCTCGTCCAGGGTGACAAAGGAGGGCTCCCCCTTGGCCGCCCCCCCGGAGCTCTTCCCTTTCCTCCTCTTGGACGGGGGCTCCGACGGGCCGGGCTTGGCTCCCTCTTTCCTCTTGCCCCTGGGGGGGTTTCGCCGCGGCACAACCGGAGACTCCACTTCTTCCACCACCTCGTCCACGGTGACAAACTCGTCCAGGTTGAAGGGGAACAGCTCTTCCTCCTGGGAAGTGTCAAAGTGGGAATATAACACTCGACTTCACCCCCACCCACAGCCTCGGGAGAAACACCCCCAGCCTGCCTGCAGGGGGAAAAACCAACTTCATTTGAGGGCAGGGAAAACTGCCCAGGCCTTCAGTCCCACGGGGCAGGAGTCTTGTGCTAATCCATTTAATTTCACTCGGATTTAATTCAGGAAACCAAAGCACTTTGCAAAATCCCAGTGGATCAATTGACAGCATCCCACACTGCCCGGGGTGGGAAGAGCAGCCTGGCAGCGTTGGCTGCCTTTGGCAAAGGGATTGGACACCACGGGAACAGAGGTCTGGGGCAGCTTTGGGTGGTGCTTTAGGGCCAGATGGTTCCCTGGCATGGATTTCATGGCATCTGATCCCAGCTGGGGCTTCCTGGCGGTCCCGGCTCCTGGGAACAGTGACCGAGAGATCTGGGGGGAAACCCAGCACGTGGGAAGATCCCAAAGCAATTCCAGCATCCCAGAGCCCACGGCACCAACGCTGGGTGCAGGAAGGGCAGGGACTTGGTGATCCCACTGCGTGGGAGGTGGGGAAGGATTCCTGAGAGCAGCACCCAGGCCTGGGGTCAAGGAACCAGGGAATGGTTTGGGTTGGAAAAGACCTGAAATCCCACCCAGAGCCACCCCCTGTCCATGGGTAGGGAAACCTTCCCCCAGCTCAGGTTGCTCCAAGCCCTGTCCAGCCTGGCCTGGAACATCAAACCCCCACTTTTCCAACACCCTCTGCACCTTCAATCCCCCCATGGTTCCATCCTTACCTCCTTCTGCTTCCCACTGCCGCCAGCACCACTGGTCCTGTCCCCACCAGGACCCTGCAAAACGAGAGTGGAATTCCCATGGAACGGGGTCAGCCCCTGCCCCGCTCCCAGGAGACCAAACCCACCACCAGACACGGCTCTTCCCGGCCCTGAGGAGCTGCTCTGGGATGTCCCCAGGGCTGCTCCCGCTCCAGGGACCAGCCACTGACCACGGGTGACACCTCAGGAGCCTCTTCCCGGTGCCCAGAGCCTGGGCAGGACTGGGCACAGCAAATCCCAGCTCCCTGGTGGACACACGGCTCAGCTCCCATCCGGAACTGCTCCGAGGACACACAGTTAGGACACGACCACGACTCACTTCCAGAGCAGCTCCGCAGGATTTTCCCACCAGTTCCACCCTTGTGTTGCAGATAAAAGGAACTGGCTGCCATCAGCTCGTGTGGATTTATTGGAAAGGGAAGGGGAACACGGAGCCCCTGTCCCAGGCTGGGAGCAGCCCGGAGTCAGTGCCGGCACGGGGACCTTCCTGCCCTCTCACCTGAGTGCTGCCGGGGTCCTCCTCCGTGCCGGGGGTTCCACTCTCTCCCTCTTGGCTCTGTTTTGAACCAGCCCTAGATTCCACCTGGGAGTCCTTCTCCTGCTGGGATGAGCTCCTCCCACTGCCTCCCTGTCCGTCCACTGTGGAGCTGCCGCTCCCTCTGCCCTGGGCGCTCCCTGCTGCGGGCTGGGCTGCTTTGGAGGGGGTTTTCTTGTCCCCCCCCGCCTGGCCCTCGGCTCTGGGGGGGTTCTGCTCCCCCCCTTTGCCCGGGGAGGGCTCGCTGCTCTTGGCTGGGGCCCTGGCCTTGAAGATATCCGGGATGGACACCACTGCCCTCAGGAGGGTTTTACCCACGGCGGGGTCCTTGAGGGACAAAAAGGGGTTCAGTGGAGCTCCCAGGTGGCTCCTGTCGGGGTTTGCCGCTCCCGTCCCTTTGTTTTGGTGGCTTTTGACCAAACTTCCCGCGTTGCTCCCGCCGATGGCACCCGGAGCATCTTCCAGAGCAGCCCCAGCCTTGGCCGCTGCTTTTCCAAGCTGCTTCTCCAGCTCTGCCCCAGCCTTGCCCAAGAGCTTCCCGGGGTTCTCCTCCGCAGCGTGCCCAGCTCTGAGCACACCCTCCTCTGCTCCAGCCACGTCCAGTCTCTTCCCTGGGGCCTCCCTGCTTTTAGGGGCAGGTTTCCTCTCGGCCACCGGAGCTCCGGACGTTTCAGGGTTGCTTTTCCCAGCCTCGGGAATGGGGCTTTTCCCGGGAGCACCCAGTTCACTGGCTGGCTGGGTGACAGCAGGTGACACCGTGTCCATGGGAGCCCCCTCAGCCACTGCTCCAGGGCTGGTCCCTGCTGGCTCCCCGCCTGCTGGGGTCACCCCACGACCCCCTGGATCCCCCTCAGCCCTGCTGGATGATCCCAGTGCTTCCACGGCAGGGGCAGGCGACTCTTCATCCCCCTCTTTGTTTCCCTTCTCCAGCAGCTTTGGCTCAGGAGGAGCTTTGGGAGCCTCTTCCGTCCCTGCACTGGAAGGCGGCAGCGGCTTCTCCTCCGACCTCTCTCCGGGTGCTTTGGTGCCAGCAGGTTTCACGGGAACACCAATCCCAGGATCCACGTCCTCCGCAGCCGTCCGGGCCAGGCTTCCAGGTGATTCCCTCGCTGCTCCTCCCGGCTGGGGCTCGGGGGGCTCCGTCTGTCCCGCTGGAATCTCCTCCGTGCCACTGGAGGTGGGATTGGCTCCTCTCCTTGCCCCCCTGGGCTCTCCTGGCGGATCAGCAGCTGCTCTTGGCACCACTCCTGACCCCTCGGGAGATTTTTTCGAGCCAGCGCTAAATGCATTTAAAAGAAACAGAAGAAATCAAACCATGTTGAGAATCCTACAGTCACAGAAAGCTCCCGGCGGGGCCTTTCCTGCCGCACTGGGAATGTGGGCTGGGGCTGCCAAGCACGAGGGGAGGAATGTGATGGTGCTGGGAACTCACCTCAGCACCTCCAGGGCAGGCCCCGTTCCAGGAGTGCCCCGGGACCTCAGGGCTCACAGGGCCCCCCCAAAATTCACATCCCGGAGCGGGAAAGCGAATGCACAGTGAAAACAAAGCTTCAGTGCCTCTGGATTAAGGAATTGGCAGCTTGGCTCTGTCTCCAGACGGGGCAGTCAGCAGCCCAGAGAGCTCTGTCAAGAGCAGCAGGTTTGGGTCTGGGCTCGGTTTTTGGGAAGGGAGGGGTTGCTCTGGGTTTAAACCACCACAAGAGGCACAGAGGTTCCCTTGGGCTCTGCTTTCCCTGGATAACCCACTGCCAGCTCCAGGGTGACACAGCCCCAGGTGCCAACACAGAGCATGGAGCTCCTCAGAGAACTCTTGTGTTCTCTGAAGGAAAGAATCCCCCCGGGGATCTTGGGAGACACTGGAGTTAGAGGTGCCTGTGCCTGTTATCCCACAGAGCTCCAGCAGAGGAGCATCCAGCACCTCCCAGCTCAGCCAGACCCCCCCAGCAAGGATGGAGCTGGATAGAATGGACTCAGCTCAGGGAAGGGTTCAGCCTGGACGTGGCCAAGGTGAGGGATAAGGAGACAAAGAGACAAACACAGAGCAACAGGAAGATTCAGTAAGAAGAGGAAGGCCCCTTAAGAACAGGAAAATCCATTCCTATGGTGCAAACACCAGCTCCAAGGGAAGGTATGGAGACAAAACGTATGGACAGAGGAGAGGGGATGGGAATTCTGCTCCCAGGCCCTTCCCAGCACCAGTGTAACACTGGATATGGAACAGCCCTGCCTGTCACCAGGGGCAGCAGGGCTGGGGACACTCCTGCCCTCAGTCCCTCCTCTGCTCTCCACGGGCTTGGCCCCCTCAGCCAGGACACAGAAGGGATTCTGACAGCAATGAAACATTCCTGTTTGTGTCCATGGATTCTCCTCCTCTGTCTGAGCATCTTCCACTGGGATTTGCTGAAGTCCTCCCTGCCTGTGGAGCAGGGCACGACCTGGGGCCGTCAGAGCCCAAAGTGCAGATCCAGGATCAGGGTCAGACTTGAATTAAACAAAGCTCCAGCTCTGCCCTGCCCTGCCCTGCCAGCCTCTGCTGGGGCACTGCTGGGAGGGAATGGAGCAGTGCCTGGGAACAGGGATGACACACTGAGCACAGGGCCCAGCACAGCTGGATTATCACAGCTCCAGAGGGGCATTGCCCCCCAAATCCTGAGGGGAGCCAACACCCTGTGGTGCCAACACCCACCCTGGGCCTTCCCAGTGCCCTGGGGGGCCCCAAAACCCACCCGTGGGCTCAGACCAGGCTGAGAGGCAGAGAGGGATGGGCAGAGGGAGAGGAGGGACCCCCAGGAAGCATCCAGGAGCACTGGGATCACCTGCCAGGCACTGCCTGCCCGGGGGTGTGAGGGGTGAGCCCAGCCCCTGCCCCAGCAGTGCCAGCACAGAGCCTGGGCCACGTCCTGCTCCATACCTGGAAAACCAGGATACAGGGAGCAGTGGGATGAGCCAGGAGCCACAGCCTGGGTGAGAACCCCCAGCTGTGCTAGCCCAGGACAACAAATCCCAAACAAAGGCAGCCAGGAAAGCACATCAGTGCTCAGCCCAAGCAGGAGGAATTCCCAGTTCAGGGGAACTTCCAGAGGTTCTTCAGCCCCTTCTGCTCCCCGAATTTCACTAATCCCTCCCTCTCCAGAAACACAGGGAAGGGCTTTGGGTCTATAATAATATTTAAGATGTTTTCTGCTTCTTATGAAATGAACTAAAGAAAGGGAGTCCCAAAGGCTCAGAGGGAGAAGCCAAGGAGAACGTGTGGAGCAGGGAATTTATAGGGGAATGTGGCAGCTTTCCACGTGTTCTGCAGCCACAGCAGGGGCTGGGATTCATGGAAGAGTCACCTGATCATCAGGAATTCACTGCACTAGTTAAAGCCCACCTGGCTGGAACCAAAAAGGTTCCCTGTGTGGCTGTAAAGCTGTGAGGAAGAGATGGTTTGGGAGCTGAATGTTCCCAAAATGGAGGAGTTTCACGGAATAAGGAATGACAACCTGACTTCTGAAAGGAATAATGTCTGAAAATATAGAGCAGTGTATATATATAGAGTATAATGGCATGATTTGGAATTTAGGACCATCATCACACACTTTGGGGGGGTTTTAACAACAAAACTTCTCCAGAAATACGGATTTGAGTGACAGAAAGTGATTTAAGTCATATTTGTTAACAAAAACTTATAATGCTCTATCCATTTATAAAACAAATCATGACCAGAACTACAACCAACAAACAGTTACTCCACAAATAGAAAGTTTACTACAACCAGCATCCATAGAACAGCTTGAAATGGCACAAACCAACCCCATTTCTGGGTCCTGGGGTTCTAGAGCAGACAAACATTTCTATAAATCACTTCAGGACCTGGATCACAGCGTGAAGTTCACGTTAATAAGTTAAACAAGGAAGTTTCAGTGCATTTTTAGCATTTGGAAACAGAAAGAACAGAGCCAGGGGCTGTGACAGAGGGAGGAGCTGCAGGATGACAGAAACCCTCGGGGGTTAAATCCCCCCAAATTCTGTTTTTAACACGTGGAGCCAGACACACCTGCCAGGCCTGGGGGTAAAAGCCTGGCCAGAGCAGTGAAACAGTGATAAAAGAGGATTTGCTCCTGTTTTCCATGGGTTTGGAATGAAATCCCAAACACTCTGGCTCTGTGGGGACACACAGAGCACACGGAGGGAGGAGCAGCAGGACACGGCTGGGGCAGCTCCCAGCAGGATTTTCCCTGGAGCTGGGCTGGAGAGAGGCTCAGCACCCCCCAGATCATGGACAGGGCATTCCAAGGAAAGGGAGACACAACCCCCCAACCCTTGCAGGCCATACCTTGCTCTGCTCCCCTCCTCTCTCTTCGGGTCTCTCTTCCCAGCCTCAGCCTGAAAGGCAAAGCCCAGGGTCAGTGTCCAGCAGTTCCAGAGGCTCCAGCATTCCAGAGCCCATCTCCAGCATCCCAGAGCCCATCTCCAGCATTCCAGAGCCCACCACCCCAAACTCGGGCACCAGGGAACTGTTCTAGAGCCCAGAGCAGGGATGTCCTGAGCTGGCCCTGCAGGGGATGTCCCAGCACTCTGCAGACAGAACACTGAGGGTTTGTGTCCCTTCAGGGCTGGGAGCAGAACTGGCTTTGGGGCTGGGATAGACCTGGAGGAGAGGGATGTTCAACAGTCCTCTTCCCACACAGCACCCTCTTTCCTGGACTGTGAGGATGTGAAGGGCTGCAGAGTTCAGGGGGAACAGGTTCTTCTCCTTTTCTTCTTCTCCTTCTCCTTCTTCCCCTTCTTCTGCTTCTCCTCCTTCCCCTTCTCCTCCTCCTTTTCCCCCTTCTTCTCCTTCTCCCCTTTCTTCTCCTCCTTCTTATTTCTCCCCTTTCTTCTCCTCCTTCTTCTTTCTCCTCTTTCTTCTCCTCCTTCTTCCCCTTCTCTTCCTCCTTCTTCCCCTTCTCTTCCTCCTTCTTCCCCTTCTCTTCCTTTTTATTACTGATATTATTAATATTATTAAGCAAACAGCCTTCTCTAACAACAAATTACACCCCAAGTTGAGCAAGTACCTACAAGACCCCCAGGCCAGTCCCTATCCCTTAAATCCAGCCATTCCCTGCAGGATGACTGGGTGTTCCCACAGAATGAACTCCTGGATCGGCTGTTAAATGAAATAAGGTCTCCTGAAAAAGGCACCACAATCAAAAAACCCTTTAATCTGAGATCTCCATCTCCTTTCCAAAGGCACTTCCCGAACTCCCTGCAGACAATCAGGATTGGGAACAGCAGAATTCACTTTTACTTATGGATGTGATTCCAAGGCCTTCAGTTTCCTGTAAACGTTTATCCCATAGATAAGTGCTCAAAGTAACAAGAGCATGTTCTAAGGAATTAAAACCTATTTGGTTTTTCCTCCAGAATCTGACTGAAGGGTTTCCAGAGGAATTAACTCCATGTTCCTTTGGGTCCCCAGGCACACAGCCCAGACTTTGGCAGGGAATGGAGAAGATGGACAAGAGGGAACAGACTCCAAATGCAGCGAAGGAAAACAGCTGGGAAAAAATCAGTTTTCCCTGTTCTCAGGCATTTTTGTCTCCCCCTCAGCTACAGATAAAAATGGAGCCCTGAGTTTAACCCCAAAGCACAGGCTGTGACATTTGGGCAAAAGCTGGGACAGGGGCACTGCCAGCATGGAATGTGCTCCAGTGGCACATCCTCCTCCCTGCTCCAAGACTTCCTCCCTATTTCTGCCATTTCAGCACTACTAAATTCAGACACTATCAGCAAATCCCAGAAATCCAACTCTAAAGGGATGGAGCAGCACTTCCATGGCTGCTCTCCCCCTAAATGAGCTCTAGAGTGCCCCAAAATGTGCAGCTGGGAAGAAATGTCTGGAAAACAGTGTGGGAGTGCCCTTCTTTGTTGGCACTGACTTCAGATGAAACATTCCCAGGGACAAAGGGATGTTCTTCTGTCCCTCCAGACACAGGGAGCAGCTGGAAAAGCGGATTTGAATCACTCTGGTGGATATTCCTCATTGGGAGGACTAAAGGGAAGGGTCTTTTCCTTATTTTTCAGTGCTAAGGAGCTTATTCCTTACAATTATTAGACTTGAGTAAAAGTTTGTTAAGGATTTGTTAATTTTCCTCAGCTACAAAGTTCAGGTAATTAAAGATGTGGAAAAAGGAGGGAGGGGAAAAGTGGGATTATCCTGAATTTAGGCTAATTAATTGCTCACAAAGAGGGAACTGCAGCACTTCCACCACGGATGAGGGGTCAGGACAGGATGGGAAGAGCTGGGAAGGCAGCTGGGGCCTGTTTTCCCTCCCTGTGGAAGGAAAGGATGGATGCCCTTGTTGGCATTTGGAACTTTCTCCTGTGAATAAGAGTGAAGGGAAAAACCAGAGCCTCCAGCACATCCTGGTGTGGGAATGGGATCCCAAAGGCATGGCACTGAGAGGGAACAGCAACACCCGGGGAATGAGAGCTCCAGGAAAGGAATTCACATGGATAATCACCTACTGCCTCCTGGGGAGCCAGGCTGGGAGAGCTGGGGGGGTTCCCCTGGAGAAGAGAAGGCTCCAGGGAGAGCTGAGAGCCCCTTGCAGGGCCTGAAGGGGCTCCAGGAGAGCTGGAGAGGGACTGGGGACAAGGCAGGGAGGACAGGACAAGGAGAATGGCTTCAAACTGGAAAAGAGGAAATTTGGGTGGGATATTGGGAAGGAATTGTTGGCTGTGAGGGTGGGGAGGGGCTGGGATGGAATTCCCAGAGAAGCTGTGGCTGCCCCTGGATCCCTGGAAGTGTCCAAGGCCAGGCTGGAGCACCCTGGGCTGGTGGAAGGTGTCCCTGCCCAGGGCAGGGGGTGGCACTGGATGGGTTTTAAGGCCCCTTCCCACCCAAACCATTCCAGGATTCCATCCCAGAGCCCCAGGGAGGGCAGAGCAGGAGTTACCTGGGCAGGGTCCCCCCGTGGGGACAGGGAGCAGCTGAGGGTGTGCTCCCCCATGCTGTAGGGGTACTGCTGCAGGAAGCTGTGCATGGACCGTGCTGACCTGGGGGTGTCCAGCTGCAGGATGGCCTGGGGGGAACAGAGCACAGAGGGGTTTGTGAGTCACCTTTAAAAAGTTCCAACCCGTGGCCTGAAGCTGAAAACACCTCAGGTTTTGGGTGGATTTTTAGATTTTTTAGATTTACAAACGAAAATATGAAAGCTAAATAAAAGAGCAGAGTGAGTCACTGCCTTTGAAATGTCCCAAAACGAAAGTTTCAGCAATTCTGGCTGAATTTTCACTCCTCCTCAGAAATTCAGTTTTTTCCCAGGTTTCCTCCACGAAAAACCTACTTTTTTTCCCGTCCCCAAAAGGCACCTTGCAGAATTTATTTAATGTGCTTACCTTGTTTTTATTCTTCAGCACAACGTAATGGTCGACCTTCCCGAAGCGAAGCCCCACACAAACCACTTCCAGCTCCCTGTATCCATCATCTGGCAAATTCCCAAGGTGCACAAACTGGTTGTGGATGGATTCAGTGTTTACCTAAAAAAAAAAAAAGGGATGGCAAAAGCTGCTTTAACCTTGGCAGACACTTTATGGGGCAAAAGAGCCTCAGAGACACCTCATTTCCCAGGCAGGGCCCAGAAACATCCAATAAATCCCAGGATTTTGGGAGGATCAAAGGGACATAAAGGCACCAGCAGACTCCTGAAATCCCAAATAAGTCTGACCTTTTATATTTGGAAGTTGGGTCTGTTTTGCAAACACTGATTCCCAACAGACTGGAGCAGTTTTGTTTGTACCCAGGAGAACCATAAGGAGGGAGCAGATCTCCCCAGGAACATTCCCAGTGGGAAATTCAAGCCTTTGGGGTTCCTTGGGAAGTGGTTTATTGCTGGCTTTAACCAAATCCTTCTGTCACTGCTGTTCTTGGAGTCACTCCTGGGGGCTCCTGTGCCAACACTCCCACAGGGACTGACCCTCCATCCCCAGGGATTGACCCTCCAGCAGGAACAGCCTGGAAATGCTTTTCCCAGCAGAAATAAAACCAAAATTTAACTCAGCTGTACCTGCACTGTACAGAAATGCTGTGTATGTTCATTCCCAGCTTCCAGGAAACATTTAACTCAATAGGAAACTGAGACAACAGTTCAGTTCCCAATATTTCAGTAGGAAGGACACTAATGCCAATTAAATCAAGGGATTTGAGAGTATGTGGAGGAAAGGTTGGGAGTAACTCACCTGAGGGTCAGAATCTTTAATCAGGGCAGTAAATATGGCTTCCTTTAAAAAGAAGAAAGAAAAAAGGTAAGATTTGAGCTGTAAAATACAGTCACTGACTCCCCATAAGGATTAATTTGAGCTTTATTACTCAAACCAACACCTCCCTGCCCCTCTGCTCCTCTCACCCCAGACCAGCCTCCCAAGCACATTTAACAGGACCAATTTGCAGCTGCACAAACCCCTTATTTCAATCACCAGACAGTGTTCGAAATTCATCTTCAACCAAAGCATCCTGCCCTGAAGGGAAGTGTCCCCAGCTGAGCAGGAGCTCCCCTGGGTTCCCTCACTCACTTCATCCCTGATGCTCTGGTACTGAGGCACCAGGCTGATGCTGAGCTGCTTCCCATCCAGGGACATGGGGAAGCAGGTGTAGAATTTCACCATGGAATCTGCAGCTTTCCTGTTGATTTCCAGGTATGCCTGAGAGAAAAAACACAAAAATTTAAAGGAAAACTGGAATTTATCAAAGGCATCTCCCATCGGTGCCTCCTGCACCTCATTCACACCCCTTACAGACTCCATTATGCTTCTCCAGGCAGAAACACCACCAAATCCCACTAAAATACCTTTTTGTGAGAGGACAGAATCAGCACATCCTTCAGGCCTCCAAAGGGCTTTGCCAGGTTGGAAACTTCCTCCACGGAATATCCCTTGTCGGGCAGGTTGGAAACCAGGACCACACACAGGTCATCGAGGTCCTGCAGGACACAAAGGCACCTTGGCTGCCACTCCTTCCACCCTAAATCCCAGCTGGATGCCCAGAGCTGGGCCTGCCCCATCCCTGGAGGTGTCCCAGGCCAGGCTGGATGGGACCTGGAACAACCTGGGCCCATGGAAGGTGGGATCAGATGGGATTTAAGGTCCCTCCGCACCCAAACCAGTCTGGGAGTTTGTTCTCACCAGAAATAAACAGGAAGGGGGTTAAACTGGACGTTTTCAGACACTACAGCAACACCTGGAAGTGGCTCCAGGTGTGTTCCTACAATTCCCACCCTCCCACTGACCTTCCTGGCTGGATCTGCTGATTCCTCGCTCGCTGTGCCCGTTCCTGGAGGCTCTGAAAAACAGGGAAGGAGGAGTTCAGTGCTTCAGGTTCCTTTAAATACCTCAGAGCTTTAAGAACTTCCTGCATTGCATTTTACCCCTTGTGAAACATCAATATTAAATATTCACTTAACAGTGACAAACTGGTGAGACACAGACAGTGTTATGGAAATGCTCCCAGAAAGAACAGGTCCAAGGTGGGAATGTCCAGCCTGGAGAAGAGAAGGCTCCAGGGAGACCTTAGACCCCCTTCCAGTGCCTAAAGGGGCTCCAGGAGAGCTGGAGAGGGACTGGGGACAAGAGATGGAGGAACAGGACAAGGGGGAATGACTTCAAATTGGGAAAATGGAGATTTGGGTGGGATACTGGGAAGGAATTCTTCCCTGTGAGTGTGGCAAAGGGACTGGAATGAATTTCCCAGAGAAGCTGTGGCTGCCCCTGGATCCCTGGAAGTGCCCAGGTTGGACAGGGCTTGGAGCAATCTGGGGTAGTGGGAGGTGTCCCTGCCTGTGGCAGGAGTGGAACTGGGTGGGATTTAAGGTCTCTCCCAGTCCAAACCATTCCATGATTCCAGGATTCTCTGACCTTTCCTTATCAGTACTATCTCAGGCACAGTAACTGAGAATTAACCCACACTTGAGCCTGGGTTTAACACCCAGTCTGCTCTGGATGAGTTACAGAACACGTGGAAAACAGGAATGACTGAACCAACGGGGTTAAATGAGAGGTGGAGCTGCAAACAGAGAGCCTGGAGCCAGGGGGGTCAATGCCAGTGTCCAATCACACTGACAGCTCCTGCTAGGACTGTCCTGGCTGCTGAAATACAGAAATCTCAGGGGTCTGCAGCCCCTCTGGGGGCTTTCAGCCCCTTCAGCCACCCCGATGAACTGCCGGGTTCTGGTCCAGCCCCTGAACCTGCTCTCCCAGATTTTATTTCCTGGAATCCCGCGTCCTTTCCATGTCCTGGCTGGAAAGCATCTCAGGCAGCCCCCAAGAGCAGAGAGGTTTTAGACACCTTTGCAGTTTCCCTGGTTTAATTAAAGCTTTCTCAGCCTCAGGCCCATCCAGCGCCGGTGCCTGAGGGGGGTGGGACGGGCTCCCTGACAAACAAACAAACCCATAAAACATCCCCATGTCCAGCTGCTCATCCCCCATGGAACAGGGCAGGACAGACAGGGGTTACCTGGCACAGGGGAGGGATTGGGCTGGCTCTCCATGGGCACTGCAGGCTCTGGGATTCCATCCTCTCCCGTGACACTCTTTGGATCCGACGGCTCCGCTTCCTCAGCTCCCACCCCGGGCTCTGCCGAGGGCTCAGCATCTCCATCCTCGGCTTGTTCTGCCAGGGACCAGCAGGAAAAGGCAGTTTTTGTTTCTAGAGGTCAATTAATCCACTTGCAGCAGCAGAATGAGCTGCACTGTGCATCTTCTGTCACATACTCAGAGGCCTCCCAGAAAATAAATCCCTGCTCCTCCTTAACCATGGACAGAAAATCCAGGGAAAGCTTTGTCCCAAACTCACCCATTCCCTGGTTCTTTGGCTATTCCCCATCCACAAACAGCCCTGACAACCCCTGCAAGGAGGGTGTTTGCCTGTGCAACGATCCACTCGTGGGCAAGGCCAGGAAAGGGGAGAAACCCTGGACTCCCAGCCTGGAATGGCTGTGCTGGGAAGGGAAAAGCAGCTCCTGCTTCCCCAGGGAAGAGGGAAACTCCTCCCTCCTCTCACCTGCAGCACTTGGAGTTTTCCTGACCTTCCGTTCTCCTGGCACTGTTGATTTCTTGAGCTTTTCCTTTTTACCTACAGAAATACCCCAAAACCAGGTGTCAGCAGAAATGCTGATTATATGTAACTTAAAACCAATATAAAGTGTTATACATACAACAAATATTGTACACATACTACAATAAAATAGCACAGCAATATTATACATGCATGCTAATAATAAATTAATTGTTGAGACAAATATTGCTTATCAATATTATATTCATATTATTGTGAAGAAAAAGACATTATACATGCAATAATATAATAATACCATAAAATATGGAAAGTTATTATATAATAAAATATAATAGAAATAAAATATAACGATAAAATAGAATATTATACATACAATAACATACATACATATGTACAATATATACACAAAAATCAGCTTAATCTGCAGCAATTCAACTGATGTGACCAAAAAAACCACCCAAACCCTAATCCAGCAGTTCATCCCCACAAAGATGCTGAGGAATGAATCAATAAATCTGTAAAAACCACAATTTCCCACAGAAATCATGGCTGCTCCCTAAGTGAGACAATAAAATAAATCAATCAAGCCAATAAATTAATTAATAAAGACAACAGACAACCTCCCCCCAGTCTCACCTGTCGGGGGTTTGGGGGTCTTGGTGCTGGTGGTTGGAACTTTTCTATCAGGAGAATAAAAAATAATCAGTTTTAAAGACAATTAGCAAATATTAAAACAGCTTTAAAAAGCTCAAACCCAGGGAAAAAAACCAAAAATGGATATGAGTCCATTTGGTTCCCAGTCATTACCATTAACACCAATTTATGCAAAGGCAACACTCACTTGGTACTGGTTGAAGCTTTTTTAACCGTCAGAACTCGTTTTTTTACGGTCTTTTTGACCTGGAATGGAAAGAAAAACAGTGACTGCAGCACTTGGACTTTATTTGTAAATATGTGTGGCCACATAAAAACCATTAATAATTATCAATAGTAATTAAGTATATATAGAATATGGGTTGTGTTCCTCACTGTTCAACTGTAATTTTTCACATATGATCCATACTTTTTATAAATCTGTTTGTGTAGACATACATATATAAATAGGATTATTCTTAAAAGTAGTATTAATAATTAATAGTATTTAACACATATATAAACATAGCCAGCATCTTTCACTGCTTGCTAAACTGTTGTTATTCACAGATCTCCATCAGCACTCACACATTTGCATCCCAAATTTAACCACGGAAAAGGCAAATCTGGAACGAGGGAGTGTATTTGCATATCTATTTTTACCAGAAAAGGGGAATTCTGGAATGGAGAAGAGCACTTCTGATGTATTTTAAGCCGCTGTTTCTGCAGCTGAAGCCATTGACCCCCTCCCGGGGTTTCCCTGGAGCAGAACTCCAGCCTGGTTTGGGATGAGAGGCTCCCACCTGGCCGGGGTTTCCCTGGGGTTTCCCTGGAGCAGAACTCCAGCCCAATTTGGGGTGTGAGGCTCCCACCTGGTCGGGGGGTGCCCAGGATTTCCCTGGGGTGTGTGGAGCAGAACCCCAGCCTGGTTTGGGGTGTGGGGCTCCCACCTGGCTGGGGGGTGCCCGGGGTTTCCCTGGGGTTTCCCTGGAGCAGAACTCCAGCCCTATTTGGGGTGTGGGGCTCCCACCTGGTCTGGGGGTGCCCTGGGTTTCCCCGGGGTGTGTGGAGCAGAACTCCAGCCTGGTTTGGGGTGTGGGGCTCCCATCTGGCCAGGAGGTGCCCTGGGTTTCCCCAGGGTTTCCCTGGGGTGTCTGGAGCAGAACTCCAGCCTGGTTTGGGGTATGAGGCTCCCACCTGGCCGGGAGGTGCCCGGGGTTTCCCTGGAGCAGAACTCCAGCCTGGTTTGTGGTGTGAGGCTCCCACTGGGCCGGGGGGTGCACTGGGTTTCCCCGAGGTGTCTGGAGTAGAACTCCAGCCTGGTTTGGGATGAGAGGCTCCCATCTGGCCGGGGGGTGCCCGGGGTTTCCCTGGAGCAGAACTCCAGCCTGGTTTGGGATGAGGGGCTCCCACCTGGCCGGGGGGTGCCCGTGGTTTCTCAGCCACGCTGATCCGGATGCGTTTCCCGTTGAGCAGCACGGGCTGTGTCTCCCCGAATTTCACAGCAGCAATCACGGCCTCCTTGTAGTTCATCTCCAGGTAGGCCTGAAACACAGGGAATTCCTGCTCTGACTGTGCCTCCAGGCACAGGACACAGCTCACTGGGACTCCTCCTCAGCAACGTGCTGGGGATGGAACTGGGGGTGCTGAATCCACGTGGAATTTGATGGGCAAGTCTGGATTTCAGCGTTACACCAGAACCACCCCATTGCCTCCAGCTGCCACGGCTCAGGTAGAATAAAACAGAATAATTTAAAAATGACACATAAATAATTTATAGTTATACATAATATACATTATAGATATGAAAGTCTACATTCTGTGTGACCTATAATGCATTATATTATTATATATAATGTCTAATGCATAATTTATAGGTAAAATTAAATATTATACATAATATACATTATAGATATGAAAGTCTACATTTTATGTAATCTATAATGTATTATAATATTATATATAATGTCTAATGCATAATTTATAGGTAAAATTAAATATATTTAAATAGATAAAGACATGATATATTATATATTATATACATTGTATAATATACAACATAATACATTATATATTATATGCATTATATCCTATAGAATATATGTAATATGCAACATAACACATTATATATTAAGAATCTATAAGTTATACGTATAAATCATATATATATATATATATATAATAAAATGAAAAAATGTAGGGTCTGAATTTGTATCAGTTTCCCAGTTCCAGCTATTCCAAGATATATATATATATTTTTTTTTTTCATTTTATTACACACACACATATATATGTGTAGAATAAAATGAAAAAATGTAGGGTCCGAATTTGTATCAGTTTCCCAGTTCCAGCTATTCCCAGATATCACGTGTGACCTTAAAGCTTCTCAATAGTTTGTCACTAATGCCATGTTGCCCTGAGGTTCCCCGTGTCCCCAGTTTTCCCTGTTGCCCTGAGGTTCCCTGTGTCCCTGGTCTTCCCTGTTGCCCTGAGGTTCCCTGTGTCCCTGGTTTTCCCTGTTGCCCTGAAGTTCCCATTGTCCCTGGTTTTCCCTGTTGCCCTGAGGTTCCCCCTGT